CACAGTGCACATTTCGGCATACCCACCGGTCGCAGGGTAGGTCACAGCCTAGTATTTCATTCGGCTATAGTTAACTTCAGATGGAATCAGGAGACAATAGGTATTCTAGATTACAATAATCGACCATAGGCCAGGTCAGTGCACAGTCCAAAACACCTACCGTCAACAGGTCAAGTCAGGTCAGGTCAGCGCTCATTCTAGCCCAACCATCGGCCAAATGTCAATCTATATGCGATACACAGTCTAGTACACCCACCAGCCACAGTTCAGACCAGTGTGTTGTCCAATGAGCCCGCCTACCAGGCACGGGTTAAAACTGTCAGAATCATAGAAGTCAGACCATTATCTGGCCAGTTTACTGACCGGCAACAGGTCAGGTCAAGTTCATTCCAATAGTTAAGAGCACTTGCCTCTTATGGGTTTATTTCTAGTTTCAGGGTCACGGCGTACGAGCTTTTTTTATAGTCCGTTACCCATGATCAGGCAACCAGGAGTGCCCCCACCCTCAGTCCCAGCGACGCAAAGAACCCTTACGTTAACACCAAAATAAAAATCAAAGTTGAAAAGTCGCGGCACTCCCTGCTAAGAAGAGGAAAAAACATAAAAGAAGCGGAATTGACTACGTATGATATTATTTAACTTGGTTAGTAGATACAGAGAGCCATAGTAGTTAATGCCAAATCTAGCATCAACTGTCCGCTAAGGGTTCAATCGTACATTGTTAGTGAGGAACACGCACACACTCACTTGGAAGGGGACATTAGTGGGGTAAATCAGGTCTGGTCTAATTCATGCATGTTGTCTTGCCATCCCTCCCGATGCCCTCCAGCTAAGCCGAGCTTGTTGCAAGAGAGTCATCGGGGAGATGGGGCCTGATATGGTGATTATATGCGAGCAAACATTTCCATGCCAACACTCTCCCAGTCTCACACTCCTGCGGCCCGCCTGGCCAGGCCAGGGCGGTATCATTCACCAATGCGTGAGGAATGGTCCGCCCCGGCCCCGGGGGGAACTCAACGTTGCCTCCCCAGCCGGGGAGATCTGTGGGGTACCTCCCCGGCGTTCCAGGCGGGCGGCCCGCCCCCACCCGCGCCGTCCCGCGTACCGCGTTCATCACGCGTGGACGGCGCCCCGCGGCCGGCCAGCCGAGTGGGAGGTCAGCCCATCGTATGGGCCGGCCCCCCGCCCGGCCGGCCAGCCGACCGGCCCCGCAGTTAAACTGGGCCGGTCTCGGGTTAGCCCGGTGGGTGGGGTGGGGGCAACGTATCAGTCAATGTACCAATCTCTTAACGTAGTATTTTAGTTAAAAACGGTATGGATTTGATGAAGAATAAAATGAGTTTTCTTTTCTTTTCTTTTTTCGTTTTCTTTAAAATCTATGATATGTGTTCTTATAGCTAGTTAACCGTGCGCCGGTAGTCAGGACTTGTACTCGATGAGAGTAACAGCATTGCATGTTCATTTTATACCGGTGTTGGTGCTTTTCATCTTAGTAGATGGTTCTTCACTTTAGATTTGATTATCCCTATTCTGTCATATTTTGATAAGTCACAGAGTATGCTCAGTTTGTTCCATACTTCTGGGACGTAAAATTTTACAGTGTGTTTTCGATAATTGTTTCTGGTGGAGGGTACCTGGAATGTGTCTTTGTTTCTGGTCACACTTGGGGGTTTAAATTTGAACGATTTTCTTAGTATTGCTGGTTGAAGACCATTTAAGTATTTATATGCAAAAATAGTAGCTTTGTACGATACAATGTCTCGAATAGTGAGCATACCAATTTCTTTCAATCGGCGTGTCACGGATTCTCTGTATGGTAAACCCATAATTGTTCTGGCTATGCGTTTTTGCACTGTCAAGATGCCTTTTAAGTTTGTTTCATAGTTTATGCCCCATACCAAGCAGCAATAGCTTATATGAGGCAAGATAAGGGCGTTGTACAGTAATAGGCTGTGGTGCTCACTTAGGCACCATCTAGCCCGACTGATTATACCTGCAATTTGACTTAGCTTAGTAGAAAGCTTTTTTATATGCTCTTTAAAAGATAGCTGTGAGTCTACATAAACACCTAAGAACTTAACACATGGAGCGTGCCTGATGTTATTGCCTTCAATATTTATATTAAGTTGATTTTGTTCTTTTCTTTTGGTATACACTTGATAGCACGTTTTTTCAAGATTCAGTTTAAGCTTGTTGCATTCAAACCAAGTGTTGATAAGTTGTAGCTCCCTATTCATCTTGCCTTCTAGTTTGTCATACATGGTGTCACTGAGGAAGATATTAGTGTCATCTGCAAAGGTTATGATATTCAATTGGTTTGATATGGTGCTTAGGTCATTCAAGTAAATGTTGTTTTGTTGGGTTAGGCTCTTTCGGTCTGACGAGACCATTTCAATGCCGGAAGGATGATAGGAATTAGGAATAAGGAGAGACATTGGTCTGGCCGAGCACCCTGGTGAGTCGCCAGGGCTGAGCCCGTCCAGAGGACAGACCGACCAGCCCCCCCCCCCCCACCCAATCACTTACCGCACCCGGCTACGGGCGTGCTCTTACGGGCAATCCCGTATGGGATTAAGTTGCCCATCCAGCCCGGAACAGGGGACTGAGGCGTGGAGGAAAAGGATGTGACAGTCATGTGAATGGAAAAGAGGGAACGTTGGGTACGACTACGAGCAATCTTGTATGGGGCGTCACTAGCTACAATTTTAAATGTGTTTTGGCAAGAGTAGCCGTGCCAAATCATTTGGCTTATGAGCTATATTATCTAACCCTGGCCTCTGTTAGATCATTAGTAGATCACACGCCGCTCCAGTAATTTTATCCATCGTTGAGAACCCTCGTATTCTTCAAGCGTTCTGATTTCCAGCTCGGCAGGCATTGGAGGGTTATTCTGGCTCTGACTGCGTCACGGGTCTGGTTTAAGACCATCGCCGCCAGCCGCAGAGGCGGATAGCGTTCTCAGCCGGCTGTAAGTTCGTCAAGTTGTGTGCCCAACGCCCCGGGCCTCTCCAAGGAGCTGCCTGAAACGGGAAGGTCAGAACGGTGACCTTTGGTGGGTTCTGGAGGGCGCTCGGCGTTTGAGATCTTCTGAGAGACGGCGTTCATCAGGTTCGCTGCGTTGGTTTAGTTTTCTTGTTCTTTTATTTTGGATATCGGTACCTACTACCTACTTTGTTCTTCTTGGTCAGAAATGATGAATGATGTGATTGCTGAATAGTGTGAAACCACTGGGACACAAGGCCGCAGGATTTGGATTGCGGAGGTAATCAATGAAGTCCTAGTGTCTGTTGGTTGCCTACTTTATTTATTATTCATTGCATCGTCCAAGCCTTCGCTTTGTTTCGCCCTATTTATTGTGGTTAGCTTGACAAGACAACTGGTGAATCCCGGCTTCTTTAAAGGAAATAGTTCACTTTCACGAAATTATTTTTTTTGCAACGGATTTATGATTTTTTATGTTCAAAATAATCAGCAAAGAAAATAAAACCTTTTTATAACAAAATATTATTTTCTATATTTTGATATAGGAAGAACTTTTCAGTTTCTGTAAGGCACACGCGATCCAGTATGAAAAGAGCATGGGTCCCGAAAATTCTTCAGAAACAGAGAAATTATCGCAGCCACCGGCATTTGGGCGATCTGCTCGATCTGATAATGTTCCCCTGAATGCCCTAATTGATCAGTACGAGAATTTCTCTCGAGTTCTCGTAGATAATTTCTCTAGTTTCTGAAGAATTTTCGGGACCCATGCTCTTTTCATACTGGATGGAAATATATGCAAGGCACACATCCTCAACGCAAGACACCTTTTTCGGGACGAGAAATAGAATATCTTTGCCTAGGGTGATCGTTGGGCTGTAAAAGCTCCTGATTTATGCTCGTCTCAGCCCAAGCTACGGAACTGCTATTCCAGTTCAAAACCCATGTTAAAAAGTGAACTATTTCCTTTAAGCCGTTCTTGCGTTGGCCCAAGCAAGTCTGACGTTGTGATGGCCACTGGCCAGGGCTGGGGTCGGTGTACGCCGTTTTTGCAGGGTGCCGTGGGCCGCCAACTCGGGTCGAGCAAAATCACCGCCTAGCTCTGCAGCTCTGTGGGGAAATCAGAGTCGACTGTGGCTTGTTTTATTCAATTCTCCGACTGTGTTGACTGTCCGGAGAATTCCTTTCGACAGCTGGCTCGCTTCTAGCGGGCTTCGTTTCCAGCCACCTTCAAGCACCATCTTTTTCAGAGTCTGGATTGCGCTTTAATTTTTTGTTCCTCCGTCGTCTGTTGTTGCCGATTCACCAATCTTGACTTTTGTTCGCTGATGCACCAGCGTAGACTAAACTCGACCCATCTTCCAATTGTTCATGGGTTGAGCTGCGGGGATTGTCTCCAGCTAACTCTAGCGGTCCCTCTCCTCACCGTCCCTGACCCAATGTTACCGCACCCTGCACGCTGGGAGAGCCGGCTCAGCTGGCCACTGCTCCGGACGGGTACTCGGGCGCGCTCATGCGTCCTCCGAAGCCCGGTCGGTGCCAGTTCGTTGACTCTCAATCGCAGCGGACCTCAGTTCGTTCCGCGAACACCGACTTATCAAAAGGCTGGAGCGGTGCTCATTCAGAGCTGAAAGCTTTAGAAGAGTTCACCCTGAAAACGCAAACTTGCGGCCAAACTTGGAATGGTTTCGTTTTAGAATTTTAATCTCGCGTGAGCTTTGAGTTGATGTACCCATTGAAACGGGTGCTTGTGTAACTGCGTAACAGCGCTAGAATATGATCCATGCAACAATAGCCCATGACCAGTTTACTCACTCTGCCGGGCGCCGGCTGCCCATTGCTGCATCTCTCTCTCTCTCTCTCTCTCTCTCTCTCTCTCTCTCTCTCTCTCTCTCTCTCTCTCTCTCTCTCTCTCTCTCTCTCTCTCTCTCTCTCTCTCTCTCTCCTCTCTCTTTCGCTCTCTCCGCAGTCTTCTGTAGTGACCTCTCCCCGTTCTGACTCTCCCCCCTCTACCTCCACAGCCGGTGTCTGCAGTGACCACCGCCTCGACCGTCACCTCTACCGTCACCTCTACCGTTGCCCGCCCTACCAGACATGGCCGCCGACGCTGAACAGCCGCGCTCGGAGCTGGAGCAGCTTCAGCAAAAGGCCAACCAGGTCACAGATGAGGTGAGTGACGTAACGGTGACCCCGCTCAGGTCATGGGTGAGGTCAGGGATGGTGATGACCTCGGCTAGGTCACGAGCTAGGTGAGTGTGCAGTGACCACGCTCAGGTCACTAGAAAAATGGAAATTGTGATGACCCTTGACCTCGCTCAGGTCAAAGATAATATCAGTGGTGGGACGTCTTTTACTCTGTCTGGGGCTCATTGACTGCTGAGCTGGTCCATGAAAGGGGACGCAGTACAGGGTCTGATACGAGCGCTCTGCTACCAACTGTTTCACATGGGTGTCGTTCCACTTTGAAGCTATTTATCAACTGGAATTTTAAAAATGTGGTCTCGTTTCGCGGAAACGAATCAGCCTCATGCTTTCAAAGACAGCGCGTGAATAAGAGAACAGTGAAATCAATAACTGGCGGCTCGCTGTGGCAGGCCGGTCTGCCGCCCTCTTCTATTTATACCACCTAGCCTGTTACATCCACGTGATAGGACAGGGCATTTTTTGCCTGATAGAAAGAGAAGTCCTTTCCTTTTATTGTATACTTGCTAAAACGTAACTTTCTCACTTTCAAAGAAGCTGCAGTCAAATCCAGCATGTGACACTAAATTAGGTACTAATCGCCAGCTGCTTTTGGGTCGTACCGTTTAGACCATCACACCAATCAGCGGCCCTGTACTTCCCCGAGCTCTCGCACACTCCCCACACTGCCGGCCGTCCATCTATCGTTAGCTGCGGCCGGTATGGATGGCTGCGGTGAGGGGCGGCGGCAGTAACGCGCGTGGTCCCGCCCGCCCGCCCGCCGGCAGGTCGGTACCGGGTGATGGCGGCAATGTAAGAGAGTCTCAAACCACATCTCACACAGGAGGACCATACCTCACCTAGCCAACCTCGTCAACGCCCACGGATATATAACGCCGGATGTTTGTAGTTCAGTTTTTGTAACTGCGACAGGAATTTCAACCGTGATGTCGTTAATACCCTGCAAACTTCCGGTACAGGTTTCTACAATCTACATAGTAGTATTCGTTTTATCAAAGACAATTTTCGAAAACAATTACTGTATCGAGCTATATGGTCGGTATCATCGTATGCCTTCCCTGTGACCCCTGTGACTGAGAAGGTTAGCATCTCTCTGGCAAACACTCACCAGCGGGGTCGGCTATTCCCCTTTGTTGGCATACGTCTTGTCATATCCCCAGCTCTCAGGTCGCTCAGCTGTCACCTCTGCATACCCCCCCCCCCACACACACACATACCCTACCCCTGTGAGGATCCCCCCCCCCCCACAAAGTGGGTGTACGGAAGCCCGCGGAAGGACCTCAGCCGTGAGTCGGCGTCACGATCGGCCGTAACGGACACACGCGTCCCGTTCCGTCACGCAGACCAGACTCGTTACGCCGTCTGAATAAGTAACGCGGCGCTCTGCGCCCGTGGCCCGGTAATGGGGACGTATTGATTCCCGGCCGCCAATAGCGTTAATGCTGGGCGTCGCAGCCGGCAGCGGCACTGGCCGCAGGGCGGGGCCGGCCGAATATTGGCACGGCTCTGCGGCCGGCCGCGCGCCGTCAACTGGCCCAAATGGACGACCGGGGTCTCTGTGGGAATAGCGGGGGTCAGGGTCTGTGAAGGTGATGGATCGTTTTTAGGTGGAATGCTGCTTTATGAATGCCGACCTTTTGAAGAGAATGAAGAGATGTAACGCGAGTTGTAGTGAAATTGCTACAAAATGGTTTAAGCTCGGTCACGAGTAGATCGGATGAAACTTCGGGTGGAGATGTATGATATTGATCGACAGCTGCTGACTGAGCTAACAGAATGCTACCTGATCGAACTGAAGCACTGAGAATTGAGAGCCAACTGAGCTAGCCGGAACTGTGAGAACGGAGCCTGTGGCTCTCCCCCGTACCCTTATCGCAAGAGATAGACGGACCGGGACGGACGAATGAACCGATGGAGGGGAAAAGAAACCGTGTAGATGGACACGAAGACACATCTAGGAAATATCTAGGAAACACGACCGAACAGTGTACAGAATAGGGTGACTTACTGGCGACCGCATATATCCTGACAGCTCACTGGAAATGTCGTCGGCGTGGACCATCAACCATTGAGAAACTTGAAGGTCATCAAAATGTCAGTGACGCCATTTGGGAATTGGATCCATCGGGTATTTGAAGATCAAACCATCCGACGTGTTCTCCAAAGCATCTAGGAAATCGTATCTTCAGGCCATTTTATTTGACATACCTACGCTGCGAGCGTTTCGCTGAGATATGAGAGGCTACATAAGAACGCTGGCGTTTCCTACACTTGAGTCACGCGTTGGGCGATTATGTCTGTTAGACACTGGACAGAGTACGCGGATTAGCAGGAAAACTCGTTCGCTGGACAGGAAAACCGGGTGCCTGCCATTTCTCCCGGCGCGTTCCGTTATTGGTGCCCGCTCTGTCTGTAAGCCGGCCACAAACACCTGTGTTCCGTAACTGTCGGCTGCTCACCGCCATGGCAGCATGCACAATGTGAACCGTCCGTAGCCGTGGACCTAAGCGGTGCGCGCTAGTCGGTTGATAAATATAGTCTGACTTATTGTAGCATATGGCTACTTTTGTCACTTGAATACATTATTTGTACCTACATTTGCGCGCTCTCATATCATTTGTTCCCTTTACTTAGTGGTCTCTTCTTTGGCTCGTCCAGTCTTGTTCGGAAGCTCTGATTGATCTTTTTTCTGTTCGTATGGCGGTTGCAGCCGACATCCGTGGGACAATGTGGTCGATAGACTGCAGTGCCGATAATCTCCGAACTGCTCTGCTGCTGCTGAGTTCATACGGGCTGGAACGAAACGGGCGATGTTATGGAAACGGCACTTGAGCTTTCTTAGAATGGACGATTTTTTAGTGTTGTACTGCTATTTATGACATTTGGTGGTATGCTGATGATATCGGTGCTGGAAAATTTATATCCGAGCTAATAAACTGATTCCTGGCAATGCCAATGTATAATGCCATTCTGCGAGCAAACTGCGTGCAAAGCATTCCGCATCTAATGACAGTTCACTGAAGCTTATATTCAGCCATTGCTGATGAAATCTATTTACGGCACCCGATAAGCCTGGAGCCACAAATGACCTTTATGCCGATCAATGATGGCTTTTAGATCGGACGGCTCATCACGGCTGTCGTCAGAAATCACGGTCTAGCATATTTCATAGCCTCATGTGCAATGCATCATGTTTTACGTAAGACACCCGATCCCTATTTGCTGTCGTGAATTGACGCGACGGGTTACCGAGAGCCTCATGTGCTTTAGTGTGTGTCGGCGTTGACGTCTATTATTATTGCATTCTGACCTTTGATATCTAACCCGCGGCACCCACGCTATCGTTGTAAGTTCTCGTCAAGCTCGTTCTCGGTAAATCGCCCGGTGCGTCTCAATACAACTGACATTCGCATTAGGTTATTCCAACGTGGCTTGGTTTTTCGTTATCTTTGGGCTTCGCTGCTCAATCAGAGTTCTTCGAACGAGAGATATGCGCACACAGCTCATCACGCTAAGTTTGGAGTCTTTGCGTCATTGCTTTTTGCTATCGTAGCTCCATAAGAACAAAGCCGGCGGCTGAGACCGTCATCCTGCGTCATTCCTGGTCGGTAGTTGGGCGTCATATTGATCTAGGTTGCTGATGAGTTGACGCCAGTGGCGGCGGCAGTACGGATCAACGCGTCATTGGCGGCTGATATTGCCCGCTCCAATGGTCTCTCGCGGCGCTTCGCACTTTCATCTGCTGCCGCGAATGACTGCCTTCTACTCGGTCTTAGCAATGCAACGGCCGTGATTGATTGCTGGGGTACTCTGATAGCTGCTCGCATTGCGTCGAGAGCCGAGCGGAATCGGTATCCTTGTATAGGTATGTTTAGTTTGTATGCTAATAGGTAAGATATATCATTATTTAGCATGTTAGTTCAGTATAAAATTTGGTTAGTCTTTCTCATACTGCAAGAAAGAGTAACATCAATCATATACATCGCAACCGATCGCCAGCTTCAGTTTCTCATGTGCTGTCTTCATTGTAACTTTCCACTTATCAGCTAAACCCAAACTGCGCAGCTTGTGTGCTTAGTAGACCTATTGTTACTCAAAGGTTTGCATCATCCCATAATCCCCATGCATACATCGCCGGCTTGGTGGGTTACTAACAAGTCTCCAGCTCGTATCCTGTTCTGTTAATTTGGAGCCGTTTCTGGGAAGTGGAACGGCTGCTCTGAGCCCGTTTACCATGTGTGGAGCGCGGCGAGCGGGCGGGCGGGTGGTCTGGGCGGGCTCCCACCCGGTATTGATCGCACTGTGAGGAGTGGGTCTCGGGCGGAGACCGAACGAACTGGGACAGGGCGGTCAGACGCCTATAGGGGAACGGAACACATTGGGACAGGGGGTCAGACGCCTACAGGGGAACGGAATGAACTGGGACAGGGCGGTCAGACGCCTACAGGGGAGCGGAACGAAGCGGGACAGGGCGGTCGGACGCCTACAGGGGAACGGAACGGAACGACACGAAACGGAACTAACCGGATCCGGGCGGTCAGACGCCGACAGAACGGAACGGAACGACTTGGAATGGAGCGAAATGGAACGGGTGGCCGGCTGGGTCGGGGCGCCAGACGCTGCTCCCCGATGGAACGGAACGGAAGGACACGAGACAACATATGTAGAACGACACGAAACAGAACATCCGTGCAGTCGGAAACAGAACACAACGGAAGGGACTCACGGCACCGCACGAGTTCCTATGATACTGTCGGATGGAAATGTCACCGAGTCTGTGACCTCTCCCGACATCCGACCGCGTCTCACGGCACCGGATGTATGACGTCATAGCGCCGACCCGGCCGGGTGACGTCACTCGGCGGTGTCTGGCCGGATGTGACGTCAGAGTTAGACTGGTGCGCTCGGGGACCTTATCTGGCTGAATGGCCGCCGAGTTGGGATGGTTTCGATCGGTGGCGCGGCTGGCAGGTCCGGGACGTTAAAGTTATGTCATGCCGTGATCCCGGGATACCATGATTCCGCTATTCCGTGATAGCGCGATCCCGTGATCCTGTGCGGGTGCCGTGATACAGTAAATAGCCAACGCTGATAACGGTGGACAGGTGGAATTAGGCTGAATGGTCTCAAGCAGCCAGCAGTCAGCCCGCCCCAAATACCCACCAAACAGACAAAACGGATATACGAGTATAGAAATGATGAGCAGTAGGTAGCGAAAAGATAGGTTTTGAAATGTGTCGCTTGGTAATTAGCTGTCCGTTGTTGATATCCTTCTTCTGTTCATACTTCATAGATATCGATACTTCGCTCAACAATGGATATCAATTTTATAGTTTTTTTTTCTCCGGTTTATATGGACCTGAGCCCGGGACGAGACCCAATTAGACTGATCTGAAACATCACCGATCTTTTTACCTCTGATTGCTCTCGTGTCCGTCACTGTTTCACAGACCCATCTGACCTCTCTGCCCCTCTGTTTTCCAGTCGCTGGAGAGCACTCGGCGCATGCTGGCACTATGCGAGGAGGTAAGCCACCCTCCCTACCGTGAGCGTGTATACCCCTTGTTGCACCTCCCCCCCCCTCACTGACGCGTGTGTGACGCCAATGGTCCCGTGTCACTCCCACCGGCCACCGACGCGTACCGAGAGTGGTCACCAGTTGCTGGGTTGGTGGCGACAGCGCCTGGGGCTAGGACGGTAGCGGCAGCGCCTGGGGCAGTGGCGGTAGCATTAGGTCGCGGGGTGGCGCCGGACGATAGTGATTGTGCGACGAATGGGTCTGGCATGTCAGGGCGGTTGCTGGGGGAGGAGGGGGGATGGAAAGATTAGCAGACCGGGCAAGGTGGTTTGGACAGTGGGATTACATGTGTTGGGATGCTGGGATGGAATGCATTATGGATCTAACGGATGGTCCCGGTTTTGGGATGGTGCGCCGTGGCCCAGATGGGAGCGAGGCTTATAGGCATGGCTGGGTTATGTACAGTCGAAATTGAGTCAAGACCGCGTATAATAGAAGTTTTGATTGTTAACATGACTCGTGTCATTATCTTTCACGTGCGTCATGTGTGAACCCACAGAGAAGAACAGATCAAGAGCTATGGGGGACCAGATGCGGATTATTTTGTTGGCCTGGTTACTTGGGAAGACGACCCGGCTGATGTAGTCCAAAAATACTCGCTTTCTCTTCTTGTTACGTGATTCCCAGTTTTGGTGGTATCCCTCACTCGACGTGGTTCCCGGTATGGATCGTTGTTATGGATTCTGTCTTTCCCACTTCAGATTTAGCTAGTTTCGGGAACCGTCTCCTCAGAGACACGGCTCTCGACTCTCAGACAGCGAGACGACAGCTTGCTGACGAAACCCCGCCGGGCGACCGGACGGCGGCGGGCGGATCGACCGGGCATCTGCCGGCTGACGCGGCCCCCGCCCCGCCCCGCCCCCGCCCGGAGGGTGGGCGGTGGCAGTGGCCGCCTCTGACAAGGCAGAACGGCCTCTCCGGGGCTCTCCACCGCCGGCGCCGCCGGCCGGACGGCCAGCTGGGCAGGGTTTGATAGGTGGCCTCGAGGGGCCACAGCGCTGTGTCTGGATGCTGACTCCGCCCGGCGAATCGGTCAATAGAATATTCCCTCAGTGTTTTGGCCGATCTGGCTGATGCTGATTTGGCGCAATTCCCTTTTATATCAGCCCCACAAATATCCCCGGCAGCATAACTCGCTGATTGAACATCCTATCCGAACGTGCCCGTGCATCTATCCCTGAACGGAAAGAGTCTCCGTCAGAGCGCCGTTCCGGGTCGGGCTGTATTACTCGGGCCGTCTGAGGGATGCATGCCATTTGTTGGCGGCCGATTGGACGGCCCAGTGCGCCGTTCGGCAGAGTCTCGGACGTTTTCTCCGCTGTTTTCTGCGGCCGAGACGCAGCTGGCTGTCAGACGGCGGCCGCTGACCGGCGGCGGAGTTAAGATATTTCTCCCCCGCAATCGCCTCAGCCACTCTGCACTCTGCTTCAGCTAGTGCGGTGGGGAGCACTCCACAGGGGGCTCAGATCCCAACTCTGGCCCACTCTCTAATTCTGACTCCGTCTCTGGCGGACCGTCGCGGCATTGCAGCGCCGTGTCAACATCGATCCGCGCTGGCTGGACGAGCCACTGGCGGCTGGCGCGCTCTCTGCGCCGAATTGGCCGCCCTCCCGGCCAGCGTCGACGCCGCTATCGACTCCCGGCCTCCCCGGGCGGACGGGGAGGGGGCAGGGGAGCTGCACCGGTCCCGGACGGGCCGCGTGGCGGGTCGGCCGGTGTTTTTGGTCAATGGTTGGACTGGACGCTCGTAAACTGTGGACGTGGAGTGGGCGCGGGTCGTCGCTTGGCTGGGGTTGGTTGTGGTTACCGCATGGTTAATTACTATGCATTTCAGACCCCATGAGACCCTGTTTTTTGGCGATAATTTATTTAATATTTGTCCAATTTGCTTCAAATTTTCACAAAGGTCATTTCAGCTCAAGCGCCAATTTTTGTCAATATGGTCTCTTAACAAAATATTAAATTTAAGGGTACTTGTCGTTGCCTCGCAATGTTAAAATCGGCTCCGTAAATCCGTCAGTGGAGTAGAGGCTATCCGTGCGTGCGCATGACGTCACAAACACGTGACCATTAAGCTCCGCCCTCCCGGCGGACGGGGCGGTGACCTTGGCCGGTCAGTCGGCTTCGTGGAGCGGGCGGCGGTGGCTGCTGCACCGGGGCGGCTCGCATGGAGCGTAGCTGCCGTGCAGTTGTTGCAGCCGTAACTTCATCGAATGAGCAAAAAAAAAGCGCGCATAAGTAACGCACTAGCTGAAGCCCTTGACTTTGTATTTATCACAAATGTACGTACTTCCTGTTCAGTCACAAAAATATAAATTCCACACAAGCTTCGGGGCTTGTGAAAAACGCACATAAAAGATGCTGTTGATTTCAAGTGGTTGCGTAAAATTATGTATCAGGTCAGACTACGTCCAAATTACAAAAAAAAAATGTGTTTCTTAATTCTACACCTTTTATGTCGGAACATTTTTATGTTTCTAGAGCTCTGTAGGCCTGACAGCTCTTCCTGCGAAACCTTTCCCGTATAGTGCTGACCGTTCCCGTATAGTGCTCAACGTCCGCCTGCCACATTCCTATTTCTTTTTGTGCACGTCTTAACAAATAACAATATAACACATACAGCGATAAAGGACAATTCGACCACACGACACATCACGCTTCTGTTCCACCCGGCGCCCCGCACCGCTTTACGAATCACGAATACGGTCGTCTCGCTGGAGTGATGCCCCAGGCAATCGGCCGCGCCCGCGACATTAGTCTTCATTCTACTTTGTTGCTTTCTGCGCCTTCCTCAGAAACATTTATTGAAGCTGCCAAATATATCAATATTTTTGGGTCATGTGGAGGCTTACGCATGATCTCACAGTATTGGTGCCAATCGGAATTTCTTTTCTTGGAATTCCAATTTTTGTCCAATTCCAATTTGGAATTTGGACGGAATTCTTAACATTTTTTGGAAATTAATCGGAACACAAGGCATTTAAAATTTAAAATTTTAAAACGGAGGCCTTTAAAACGCTTTTAAACACTTTTAAAATTTACGCAAAAAATGCAAAAATCGTTAAAAATTGGAATAGCCCCCGCTTTGGACAAAATTGGAAATTTACTTGGCAATTTCTTGGAATTGGATCGGAATTGGAATTGAAATTTCATGAAATTGGCACCACTATCTCACAGGTAATCGGGTATAGTGACCTGACCCAGCCTGACGATCAGATAGGTGCAACTCCGGCGTAAATAAGTGCCCAGAGTCCAAGAGTTCATCTATCTTTTCTCTTACGGCCGGTTCGGTCCTATAATATAATTGATCCTACTCTGATTCTGAGGCCAGTTTTACCAACAGAAAAATGGCCGCCTGCCGGAAATTTTCACCTAAGGACCGCTTCACATACGGAGCGTAAACGCGATGGGCACGTAATCAGATAGGGCTTTGCTTTTTACGCTCCGTATCTGAAGCAGTCTCCGCAAAGAAAAACGGCAGGCGGCTATTGTTCTGTTAGTAAAACTGGCCTCTGATCATTATGAATATTATGAGCTGGTTCGACGTTAAAATACCAAAATATGGAGAAGAGGACACCACTGCCCTCGAACGGATAATTTTTGGGCTTTCGTCCCGTAACAACTTTGCCAGCTCCATTGTCTCCAGTATGCGGTCCTGATGCGACCTCTCCGCGGTGCTGACGCCGACTGCCCATCGCGGCCACGGCCAGTGGGCGGAGTTAAGCTGGGCCCGGCGTAACGTGATTGGCCAGCGCTCCTATCCAATCCGGTGCGGCAGCGAGCGAGCCTCTATCCGGGTGCAAAAACTGATTAACATTACGAGCCAATGACAAGTGCTCTAAATTTTGATATTTTGTTAAGAGACCATATTGACAAAAATTGGCGCTTGAGCTGAAATGCCGTATGCCAAAATTTCAAGCTGATTGGACAAAAATTGGAGAAATTATCGCCGAAAAACAGGGTCTCATGGGGTCTGAAATGCATAGTAGGCGTCACGACTTGCTATTGATCCATGTCGTACTCTAGCGCGGGATCCATATAATTATGTACTTACATAGTTCGGGATCCTTGTGACCTAATTTGGACTCATGACCTAGTTCAGGGTGTATATCGTGACTTTGTAATTTACATTGTGACCCAGTTTGGACTTTACTAGTATTAATACTTGGTTCGGGGCTCAAAATGACTTGAATACCTCGGGATCCAAATTTCAGCCCAGCCATTGATGTTCGGGATCCGTTCCACAACCTTGTTCGGGATCCGTTCCATGACCCAGTCTGGGGTCCACATGAGTATGACCCAGTTCGAGCCAACTTCGAATCCGGTGTGAGCTGAATGCAGAAGACGCGGCCGCCCTTGAATGTGGTGTGATTTTTCAGGGGATCGAGCAGAGTGCCATTCGGAACACGATCCCCGGCTTACGAGCGATGCTGGTTCGTCTGGGACGCGCCGCGGCAGTCATTTCCAGCCGGGCGTATCGAGCGGTGATTCTGTCCGCAGCTGGGGCCATCCGTACTCGAATTCCAAATCGGGCTGAAGTGGCGGCGATGCCGGTATTGTCGGCTGAGATTCAGGGTGACCGGGTCAGGTCAATGTCACGGTGCCGGTCCGGGCTGTTGCGAGGATAACCAGCGTGGGTCCGACCGACGCGCCTGCTCTGCTGTAGCCGCGAGGTCGGGTCTATGGGGAGGGCAGATGTAGGTCGATAGGACGGTGCCACAATGGATGGCGGCAGGAAAACGCCTCCTCCGCCCCCTCCTGTCGGATGGTGCGGCCGCAGGCGCCACGCTGATGATAGTAGATGGATGATTCCCTGGACAGAGCGGGGAGAGCGGGAGGATGACAGGGGGAGAGTGGTGGCAAGGCAGTTGATTAGATATATGCGCGGTGGTTGATCATTTGACAGATGTTGTCGGGAGGAGAGGTGAGCAATGGTGGTGGGTGGGCT